TCATCTTGTTGCAACTCTGAGTCGTTAAAGGTTACATTACTTTTTTTTTTTTTTTTTTTCTCTTAGCAAAACTACGTTATAGAACACTATAGCACAACGTACTAAAACTTCTTTGTCTTTTCCTTTTTAAAAAAATCCTTGCCCTTGATACCTTTCAGTAGGGCAGCTTGAACAGTTCATCGTCACTTCCAAACCCCTCTGGAGATGAGGCGATAAATTTCTTCGGCACCCAGACACAGGACAAAGGGCTTTCTCGTGCTATTTCCTTGTTCTCATATTTGCTGGCTTAACATCACTGAGTACACGTACGACTTCAGAACATAACATCAGCTGGGCTGGCCTTCAGAGCTGGCAAACAGAGAAACAGCATGAGAAAAGCCCTTTCCTGCAGCATTCAATTGTCACGCTCGCTTCCCGACTTCTACCACACCTCGAGCACTGCGTGGTCTGAGATGTTCTAAGGCTTATGAATGATGGTCTATTTTTTTTTTTTTCCGATTTATCAAGCAACAGGATTAAATTTAGTAGTAAATTTTTAATAGGAACGAAATGAATATAATCAAAGTATTGGAGGTGACAGAGTATTGGAGATGAATACAATCAAAGTGCAGATATTTAAGAATATACAAAATTTGGCAGTGAGTAATTTAGAATAATTGAGGTTCGTATAAAGCATAAGCAAAACTGACTGGGGAGGGGCCCCCCCTGACTGGGGGTACAGGGAGTGGCTCCCATTCCTCACCTGCCAAAGCATCCAGGCTAACAATCCCACTTATATACTGTAGGCTACAGAAGTTTCTAGAAAACTCCTCCTAGTTTCTATTCCTGAAATCTCCGTCACTGTGTGTACAGCACATGCTCTACTAATAGGTTAGGGGTCTCTCATCCTTTTGAGGGTCTTATTTCTGATGAAGGCTCATCGTCTTCATCAGTGACCGAGGTGTGACCTGCAGGTAGCTCAGGTGCACTGTGTGACTGAGCAGATGTTTTCCCTAACAAGACTTTAATTGAGTCCCATGCTTGGAATCATCCCATTTTGGCCCATTTCAAGGTCAAAACTTTCTATTTCTAGATGCTGCTTGTCAGACCTACGTCCTTCTACTATTCTTGTTTGATTTTCTTCCAACCTCCTTCTTTGACTCCCAACATCTGGAAGATGTCCTTTGCCTGTCTCACCCATCTCCCCCCTCACTCTGTAACAATTGTCTTCTCTTGATCTAAATACAATTCTAATATAGTTACGATTTAATTAGCACGAATCACATTTATCACATAAGTAACCAAACCTTTCCTGGTGTGTGAGTGTTCCCAGATCTCTACACACAGAGCACCAATGCTGCAACACAAGGAGCCACAGAAAAGCTTCCATGGATATTATTCTAAGTTCCTTACTCCTTTTTTTTTTGCTCTATCCACTCAAACCCAAAGTGCTGGTGCAAGATTAGAGCTGTCAGAAGGCAGCTGCACTACCTAGAACAGGTTCCACAGGGTTTTTGTGGACTTCATGCAAAAGCATTGTTCCTAAAAGCAGAAAATATTTTTTTATTTGGAGAATTATTTTACATCTTTAATCTAAATTTATCATCTATAGGATTAGTCCTAAATGAAGCCATTCTGATCAATTATTTCATAGAAAAGAAAGCACCATCAATACCACAGCCACCAAGGCACCAGGCACTCACTGGTCAGGAAATTGCTATCAACTGCAGATTATTGAGTGCAATACCTTCTGGGAGAAAACAGGACAATAAACAAGTGTGAAAATTAAACCAGAGTTGAATCAGACTTCACTGTTAGCAATAGTTCATAGTTAAGTAAGACATTAGAAGTAGCACAGTTGGGTCACAAGGAGATAAGAGTAAACTTTTCAGTTATCCCACTGAAAAAAATGAAGTGAAATGCACTTAATGTTTGAAAAATCACATTGTTTCTGCCCCGAGGCAAGCGGCTGTTGGAGAGGGAGTTGTGTGTCATTCTGGCTTGCACAAAAATCACTCAGTTATTAATGCTGGAACCTCATTTATCAACTTCAGTATCAGTCACTGAGCTCTTACTGGGGGAAAAAAAAGAAAAAAGTGCCTTTGTTTGCTCTGAATTGGTTTGGTTTTTTTGTCATATTCAAAATCTTTCATTATATCCTCACACAAAACACAAATTTCTTTTTCACTTTTCTTCATGCTTTGTTTTTGCCTTCTACTGTGAGGCAAAGGGGAAACTTTCCAGATCCTTCCCCATGATTTTCTAGTGAAAAATATTAAAAGAAATCACTGAAGATTTTTCTACCAGTGTTGCACAAAGGAAAAACATTTTCTTGACCAGTTTTACTTCAGTAGTGATGTACATTTAAATAATTCCTTTTTAACTTCTGATTCACACACTTTGACTCATATTTCAGTTAGAAACCTCCAAAAAAAATTTTTGTTTGGTTTTTTTTGGTTTTTTGGGGGTTTTTTGGTTGTTTTTTTTTTTTTTTTTTTTTTGTTTTGGGTTTTTTTTTTTTTTTTTTTTTTTGTGACATGTATGTACATGGCAGC